CCCCATAGCTAGCAATTCAAAGCAGTCAAGTGGAGCCTGAGCAGTGGGTGTTGCCTTCTGACATGCTTCCGGTGATGTCAGGGGGCATGGCATATGCAAATAAGTTATGCTAATGAGCTCCTGCATCTCTTTTTCTACAAAATGACCCCTGGTGGGAGGTGTATACCCCCCTGAGCCACCTGATGGAAGGGAGAGATAACAGGAATGTTATAAACATTTCTATAAATCAGAGTAATTTTTCTGTTTAATATTTCTATTATGCTTCCTTGAATAGGGTAAAGCTGAATTTAAGGAATTTATACATAAGTCACTGGCACTGCACAGAGTACCTGTGTTCTATGTTAACATAATGTACATGTGTGTATATACGTGTACGTGTTTAAGCTATGTATTTAACAATTCTTTTATTTTGTATCAATAACCATACAAAAACCCAGGAATGGTCTACAACAATTGTGACAGCAATAGAGATTGGGCTGCCAACTCAATGTAATGTGAGTGACAGTTTTGAGTGTAATGGTTTGTTGTGATTTTTTAAGCTACATTTATAATTGAATGTGTATTTTCTTCCTTCTAGTGATAAGAATTGTGATTGCTACCTGCGCAGATAAAGCAAATATTGTGAAACGAATTGTTTACATCGCACAGCATTCGTTAGTGTGCGAGTGATAACAGAAGAGAATTTTCTACAGAATTACTACAGTAAATTATTTTGCAACACATATCTTTATTGACCGTTATTTTTGTCACGGATTGTGTTGCTTTTGGATTTCCACTTCCATGATCTCTCATTTTTGCCTTCAACCTCCAGGTGGGGCCTGGAGGTCTCTCACTATTACAACTGATCTCCAGATAACGTAAATCGGTTCCCTTGGGGGAAATGGCTCTTTTGGAAGTTGGCCTCTATGGCAGAGGTGTCAAACATAAGGCCCGGAGGCTGCAGCCAGCCCGTCCAGGGCTCATATCCAGCCCACAAGCAACTGGTGCAAAGGAGGGAGCAGAAGGAAGCTGGGGGGGGGGGGAGTGGGGGGAGGCACTCTGATTGTGGCTTCAGCACGGCAGAACAACTTTGTCTGCAGTAGTCCAGCAGAACCCCTTTGCTTCAGTGGCAGCCTCACTGGTAAGCTGGGAGCCACCACAGCCGCATTCACGCCAGCTCAGGGTCCTAAGGCAAGTCACACACCTCTCCGTTTGGCCTGCAGCTCTGGGGATGCTGTCCCAGGTGGCCATGGGGATCGGGGTTTGCATGTGGAGGAGTGCAGATGATCCTCTGCTGGGGCAGCTAGCACCGCCGCCATATTTGTACCCCAATGCGGTGGCTGTGCTTTGGGGACATTCTTCACCAGTTTCTTCCACACATCAGGGACCTAGTCCTGCCCCCGAGCATGCAACTCAGAGGATGGGCCTCCCTCCCCCACTGACCACCAATGTGACCTTCAGCTGTAGGCACCTGCCACCTTGTGGGGGGGGGTAGTGCTGTTTCCAGTTATACTGGTCTTGGTTGCCTGGGGCCTCTGCCACACGATTGGCCTTGTGTGCACAGTAGCTCTGCCACCCTGATGATCTGGTCGTCTTCAGCCTGGGGCGGCTGCTGCTGCATGGGGGTGGTGCAGCTTGCTCATGATCTCTGGCCTGATGATCTGGTTGTCTTCAGCCTGGGGCGGCTGCTGCTGCATGGGGGTGGTGCAGCTTGCTCATGATCTCTGGCCTGACCCCTGGCATCACCCCACCATGGATTTCCTGGTGGCCTTGGCCGGAGGCGGCTGCTGCTTATCTTATCTCTGGCTTATCAAGCTTTGCTTGGCCTGGGCCCCACCGTGCACGTGGCCTCAGACCTGTGCCACTGTCCTCCTGCTTCTGCTGGCGGGGGGTGGTGGTGGAGGTCAGTTCAACTTGTCTTCCCAATCCTCTTCCCATGATGGCTTGGGAGCCAGGGGGGAGCTCGCAACACCTAGCCACTTAGCGTTTTCACCCTGGGGCCCGGGCTCACAGCATGAGCGGAAGGAGTGGACTGGGGAAGGGGCTCGCCTGCACCCCCAGGCAGCATGGGAACATCTGTGCAGTGCTGCACTGCTGGCTCTCCAGTCCACCCATGTGGGTCTTCCTCTGCACCCCCCCCCACCCATGGGGTGTTGCAGTGAGGACACACCCACTCGGAGCTACCAGCTGATGTCCTTTATAAAGTTTGTATCTCTGGTACGTGGCATTATGTTTTATGGCAGACATGGCCTGTCTTGACAAAGTGACATTTATGTTAGAGCCAGCCCTCGTAACAAATGAGTTCGACACCTCTGCATGGCACTGTACCCCCTGCTGAAGTCCCTCCCCTCCGCAGGCGCCACTCCCTAAATCTCCAGGCATTTCCCCACCCAGGGCTGGCAATCCTAGACAGATATTTATTTATTTTTTGGGATTTATATCCCGCCCCATCCAATATACAGCTCGGGGCGGCTAACAAACGGCCATGCCGAGGTTAAAATATGCATACAAACAACAGCATAATAAAAACACTATATCTTGACATAAAATTTGGTGCTTTGATAATTTACATAAAATCCAAGATGGGCGACGTCCCACACTGGCGGCCAAGTTCTTCACAGCGGGAGCGCCAGGAAGAATGTTTCCCCAGCTCTATTGGGCGACATCTATCCCCACTATGTGGGGTAGATGGTTGGAATATCATTGGTGGAATAGTGGCGGTGGCGGCTCCCCCTCAAAGGCCTGGCGGAACTGTACTAGGTCCCGCAGGGCCCGGATCTCCTCTGGGAGCTCATTCCACCAGGTGGGAGCCGCCACCGAAAACGCCCTAGATACCACAAAACAGGAGCAAAAATAAAAGTTTCCCCCCAAAAAAGAAAACAGCAAACACGTACTCGTACTGGACAAGGCCCAGCCTCCTCCGTGGATGTAGACCACACCGCGCCTGAGGTTCTCCTCTGCCTTTGCAGGTTCATACACCCTGACCTCCACGCCATCAAACTGAGTATCTGTGATCTTCACCTGTTCCTGTTCCACATACTGGAGGTTCAGCTTGTCAAAGGTACCAATGATGAAGTTCAGAATCCTCAAGTGATGACCCAGCCCCAGGTAATGAGCCAGGTTGCACTAGGAGAAGAAAAAAAAGCGAAAAAGGATTTGAAAGAGGGAAAGGGAAAAAAACAACCATGTGAACATTAGATCTGTTGTTAGAATATGCAATGCAGGGTGTTCCTCTAATTGCCCAGAGAAGTTACTAAATTATTGGTGACTGCGGGTTGTTGGAGCCTATTGTTAATTTTGCATCATTTAATGTGTCGTGTTAACACTTACGCTTTGCTTTACACTTCTGGTTTTTTTTAGACTTCTGGTTGGTTCTACATCCTAAATCCTATTTCATTGTGTATTGAATGTCGTAAGAACGTAAGAAGAGCCCTGCTGGATCTCACACTTCTGTTTTATTTTAGACTTCTGGTTGGTTCTACAACCCAAATCCTATTTCATTGTGTACTGAATGTCAGAAGAACGTAAGAAGAGCCCTGCTGAATCAGACCAGTGGTCCCTCTAATTCAGCATCCTCCCTCACACAGTGGCCAACCAGTTCCTCTGGATGGCCAACAACAGGGCAGAGAGGCCGAGGCCTACCTCTCATGTTGCCTCCTGGCCTTGGGATTCAGAGGATTCGTGCCTCTGAATGCGGAGGTTCCCCTCAGCCACCATGGCTCGTAGCCTCTGATAGACATCTTCCATTAATCTATCTAATCCCCTTTTAGAACTGTCTATTCCTGTGGCCATCCCTATATCCTCTGGCAGTGAACTCCATGGTTTTAATCACTCTCTGTCCCAACCTATCGATTGTATTGACTAACTCTGTGTCATCCACCTGAAGTTCCAGTGAGAAGGGTGGACTTTAAATAATGTAAATAAGCAAATAGAAATGGAACTGCGGGAGGAAAAAAGTCTAAAAGCCAAGCCGAATCTCTTTGCTGCGTATGTTTTATCCGATGCTTCTCTGCCATCAGAACAGATAACAAATGGATGGTTTTTGTAAACATCATTATATTAGAAGAACACTATATGATACATGGACTAAATATAGAAGATACTTCTCGGATGAGAGACCACTTTGGATTGTACCGGCAGAGGTTATAAAACCATTTTCGACATTTAAAGGAGAAGATTGTGTACAATACAGAGAAATGTTGAAACCAGTTGGAAAAACGTTTGAAATAAAGACTGAAGAAGATCTATCATTCAAGTATGGTTGGTTACAATATAGATAGATCTATGACTTGTTTAAAAAAGATAAAAAAGCTTTTGGATTTAGGGAGAAATATAATGAGATTGAAAAGGCATGGTTTGAGGGGGGTAAAAATTGATTTCTAAAATGTATAAGATATTATTAAAATGGTATACAGAGGATGAGACGGTTAAGGAACAGATGGTAAAATGGGCGATTAACATAAACAAAGAAATACTTGGGAATTTTTATGGAAAATCTTGGGAATTTTTATGGAAAAATGCAATGAAAATATCAACATGTAATAATTTAAAAGAAAATTGTTATAAGATGATGTATAGATGGTATATGATACCAAAAAAGATTGCAAATATGAACAGTAATATGTCAAACAAATGTTGGAAATGTAAAAAGGTAGAGGGCTCGTTTTATCATATGTGGTGGACATGTGATAAAGCTAAAATGTTTTGGAGTGATATACATGCAGAAATGGAGAAAATAGTGAAATGTAAGTTCAAGAAAGAACCGGAAATATTACTTTTGGGACTTAAAATGGAAGATGTGAATATGGCGAAAAGGACATTGATGTGGTATATGATTACAGCAGCAAGAATGACATATGCTCAATGTTGGAAACAGGACAAAGTCCCTGAGATTGGGGAATGGATTAAGAAACTACTTTTTATGGTGGAAATGGACAAAATGACAAGGAAACTTAACAATTTAGAGGCAGAAGAATTTTTTGCAGACTGGAAAGATTTGAAAGACTATTGGGAGAAGTACTGCGATGTAAAAGACAATTTGCTTAGTTTTGACAATTATTGAATTGTGAAAGTAGAAAAAAGAGATAAATATATAAGAATAACAGTTAAAGGATACGTTATCTATAAATGGGAGGGGATAGTAAGAAAAGATCGAAGGGAGTTAATATAAGTCTTGAGCAGGAGGTTGGAGCACTGTGGGAAGCCGATAAAGAGGGGGGGATAAATTCTGAAATGCTCTTTTAAAAAGGCACCGGAAATTCTGCTTTTGGGATTGAAAATGGAAGAAGTTAATACAACTAAAAAGACCTTATTCTGGTACTTAATCACAACAGCGAGAATGATTTATGCACAATTTTGGAAAACAGAGAAAGTGCCAGAAATTGAAGACTGGATACAAAAAGTTCTGTTCATGGCAGAGATGGACAAAATTACGAAGAAGCTGAACAATAAAGAAGATGACGTGTTTTTTCAAGAATGGAGTGACTTTAAAGTGTATTTGGAAAAGAACTGGGATGTGAAACAAAATTTGATATGTTTAGATCAATATTAAGTCAAATGATGTTATCTTTAGATTGTAATGATAAGAAATTGATATAGTTAATGATACGAAGTAATTTGGAGCTGGGGTGGAAGCATTGCGGGAAGCCATTGGAGGGAAGGGAGGAATTGGGAATGGGGTAGACAATTGATAGAATGAAATGTTTTAACTGTATACGTTGTATTCCTGAGAAAAATAAAAACTTGTTTACAAAAAAAAAAAAAGAGGGGGGGATAAAGGAGGAAAAGGATGTAAAATAATTTAAAGTTGGATGTATGGTGGAATCTTTATTATATCCTAATAAAGTGTTTTTCAAAAAAAAAGAAAGAAAAAGAACAGATAACAAAGCAGGGGTTCCACGGGTTAAATCCCTTCTGCGTGCAGCCTCAATCTGAGTCAGACCTGCTGCAGGCGCAAGCAATTTATCTTTTACTGAAGGAGGAAAATCTGTCATCTTAGTTGCATCTCTTTTGGTTTCAAGACTCGCCACGTAAGGTGAAAAGTACCCCAGGGAAATGCACACAATAATGTAACTGCAACATAATTAAACACCTCTCCCAAATATTACTTCTTTATTGATCACTGGTCTTCGGAGAAGATCTGTGTGACACAGATGGGTTTCCCTCTCATTTGTAGATTCAGGTGGGTAGCCGTGTTGGTCTGAAGCGGCCGAACAAAGTTTGAGTCCAGGGGCACCATTAAGAGCCAGTTTGGTGTAGCACTTAAGTGAGCAGACTCTAATCTGGGGAAACCAGGTTTGATTCCCCACTCCTCCACTTGCAGCTGCTGGATGACCTTGGGCAAGCCATAGTTCTGTTAGGGCTGTTCTGGAAAGAGTTCTCTCAGCCCCGCCTACCCCACAGGGTGTCTGTTGTGGGGAGGGGGAGGGAAAGTAGTTTGTAAGCCGCTCTGAGACTATAAGTGAAGGCAGGGTATAAATCCAATCTCCTCTTCTTCTTAAAACCAACAAAGTTTTATTCAAGGTATGAGCTTTCGTGTGCAGCACACTCTGTGGGCAAGCGTACAACTGGACCCAAGAAATGGGACCAAAATACTTCATTGGTCTCTCTTGAAAAGGACTTACAGCACTTTCTGAATGTCTTTTGGAAATTCTACAGCATCCAGCACAGACATTAACACAGGGTCTCTTGAGAGATTGGAAGTGGGCACTGGGACGGCATGTTCTCTCCCCTTTCTGGCATGACTTTTCCCCTGCTGACCTCAGGCAACAACATGTGCTATAAAACCAGGATTCCTGCTTAGCTGGGGCTCTTCATCAGCTTGCAACTCTGCTTGGGGTAGATGCTGAAGAAATAACCTTGGCCTGAAAGGGGGCAGGGGTGAGGGAAAGTAGAGGGAGGTATTCACTCTTGCGAAGGCGCACATGATCTTAAGACCCACCATTAACTGTGACTGTCTATGTGGCTGGATTCAGACATGTGGCTAAGCTACAGTTTGCCACTGCTTTGTGCAAACATAGCTTGCTTCTGACACCCTTATATGTTCCCCTCTCTTCTTGCATGGAGTTCAACTAAGGATTCCTAGGCTGAAGCAAACATCCATTCCCCATCCCTAGGTGCTTACATTCACGTGCATCTGCATCTAGCCACAATGGTGGTGGACTCAGTGTTCCCTCTAAGCTGAGTTAGTGTGAGCTAGCTCACAGTTTTTTAGCCTCTGGCTCACACATTTCTGTCTTAGCTCAGGAAGGATGGCTCCAGAGCAAACTAATTTATGCAGCAGCCAAGTTGCTTGCTCACAACTTTAATGCCAGTAGCTCAAAAAGTAGATTTTTTGCTCACAAGACTCCATAGCTTAGAGGGAACATTGGTGGTGGTGATGGAAAGTCCTGTCAAGGTGAAGCCAACTTATTTTTAATTTATTTATTATACCCCGCCCTCCCCAAATGGGCTCAGGGCGGCTAACAAATGAGGCACATATGCCAAGCTTAAACACATGAAAACAAGATAAAACAAGCAATAAAACAGTCATTCATGTAAAAATACAAGTGCTCTAGATGTCATAAATAACAGATGGGGTCACACATGACAAAGTGGTCCCAAAGCGACACAATAGACTCCAAGTGATACAGCAATCCATCCTTCCTCCCAGGGCCGTCTCATTCCCCGATGACACCCACTCCATTTAGTGGTGGTGGTCCGGTGATGGTATAGTGATGGTGGCGGCTCCTACCCAAAAGCCTGGTGGAAGAAGCTCCGTCTTGCAGGCCCTGCGGAACTGCGCCAGGTCCCGCAGGGGTTGGATCTCCTCTGGGAGCTCGTTCCACCAGGTAGGAGCCGCCACCGAAAACGCCCTGGCCCTGGTAACAGCAAATTTAATGGACCTGGGGTTACTAGTTGATGTTGAGTCCCCAACCGTAGTGCCCTTGGGGGAACATATGAGGAAAGGCAGTCCCTCAGGTATGCCGGACCCTGGCCATATAGGGCTTTAAGGGTAAGAACCAGCACTTTGAAGTGAACCCGGTAAGCTATTGGCAGCCAGTGCAGCGCTTTCAGGACAGGCCTGATATGGTCCCGCCTAGTGAGACCCATCAGCAGCCTGGCCGCAGCATTCTACACTAGCTGCA